AGGACTATAGATACCTATGACCTGGTACAGACCCTTTACCCTATCCAAGCTGCACTACAGAAGAGTTATAGCGACATGAAATAGAGGAGCCATGTACTTACCCACACCCCTTCCGAGTGTTAGCTTTCATGCTGTGCACTCTCCTTTAGGAATTTACTTCAGGGCTTCAGATGTGGACAACAGGGGGTTTTGGCACAACAGTGCACATGTAACCATGTACAGTCACAAGTGCAGACATAGTTTAAGAGTACGAAGACGAGTGACATGAAGAATGAGGTTTATGGACACAATCACATATGTACAATGTGTACACATATATACAACTGCAAATTTTTCTGATAATTATAAATATATTAAGTGCCACCTATTTCTACCTGCCCCTCATGTAATTATTAATAGTCTGATTTCTGTAGGAGGACCTGGAGGGAAGATTTACAGGAAAACTGGACAGTTGGTTTAGATATTTATAATGTTTTTCCATGGGAGTTCTAACTGCATGTAAAAATCATTTCAAGTCCCCTTCTGTGATTCATATGGTCATCAAAAATAAAAACCAAGACCACAACCTAGTTTCCATTTCTGCAATCAATGAGGCTTCAGACAGGTAAAAGGGTCTACTGCATGGATCAACTGCCACATCAGGTAACTAATGAATATGGTCTTTGTGATCCACACTTTTATTGCCACCTCTTAAACTATACGCTTAAGTACATAATACTTCCTGGTAATTTTAATGTTTTCAACAATTCATTTTAAAAATATATTCATTTCTTAGATCATGTTTCTTATTATACAGTTGATCACATAAAATACTACATGCCAATTACTGGAAAATGTGAAGCAATCACTTCATAATGTTTTGTATTATATTCTTATTCCCAAATGTAAAGGAACAAAGTATATCTAATAAATGTTCACTTTGAAAAACTAAATACAAAAAACATTTCAAACATAACAAGAAACACAATCCATGAGGGAAAATATGGCCATAATTCAGATATGAAAAAAACCTCACCATGAGAAAAAACTTAGAAAATATTGAGCATCAAATCAAGCCCTCTAATGCCAGTAAGCCATATTTATAGTCCACACATAATCCATATAATAGTTGTTCATAAATTTACATATATAAAGAACTCCATATGGCTGCTCTACATATCACCAGTATGGTAACTAATTTAATGCTGTCTACAACTGCTGATGCACCTCTGACTGAAAGATTTAACAAGACCTTTCACCCTCCTGATATTTGTTAACCTTCTACCTCAATAAGTTTTCTTCATAATGTATACATGTTCCAATAGTATGGTGCTGTATTTCAGCAGATCATCTTTCACTCGAACTATCTGTTCTCTGCTATTTGACTTTAATACACTAAAAAAGTGTTCTCAAATTAGTTCACTTTAAAATTAAATTAAAACCAAACTCAGGGTCTTTGGTTCATCACCCAGGTTACAGAAACAGACTGTTTCATTATTAACTAAAAACAGTAGTTCATAATATCATGGATAGTACCATGGTAATACCAGGGTGACAAGTAAAAATCTCTGCTTTTGGTAAAAACTGCTTACTTTCCGCAAACATATAGATTACATTCTCTTTAGAGTGGGCCAACTAGGGTTGGCCAAAAAAATTCAAATTTGTTCAGTGAACAGTGAGCATTGTATCTGCTTGTGCATGGGCCGCCATCCTTCACAGGCAAACAGGGAGTCTCATCGTTCTCAAGCTTCATCAGATAGACTGCTGTTACTGTTGGATCTGGGCTGTCAGGTGCGTTCGATGAGCATTAACATGTAGCATTTGTGGTCTACAACATTATGCCCCTAGGGAACATAAATAAACTGTCCAGAAATGGTATTATTCTATTTGAAGACAAGACAGATAGTGATGTTTCCACAAACATCTAGAGGAAAGTTTTGCTAGAGTCATCCTTGTGTTCTCCTAAATAGTGGAGCAATATGAAACACTTTACTAAAAGTTCCCAAACTGCCCCAGTTAAATTATCCAGATGTAATTTCTTTTGTAGCAATCAGACTTCACTTGTTATTTCATATCCTAATCAAAAGGGAAAAACACAAAATAATTTGCTTACTGAAGACACTATCAGCTTTTTTCTTTAAAAAAAAACTGTCTTTTTAGTCCTCTTCCTCTCCCACTTTCTATTCTATTTAAATAGCTAATTACATCAAAAAGCAGCTGTACTGCATTCAAGCAGAGACAGAAAAACAACTGTATTAGAACTTGCCAGAGTTAATATAAAAAGTTTATACTTAATTAAAATTCTTAGGATAGTGTTATGAATATTTTAAATGATAGCTCATTTTGGGGTGTAGCATTTATCATCAAAGTAATGGATACCTTTCTTTTTTATAATTTTAATCTAAAAATATTCTAGTGCTTTATACAAAGTGAAGAAAACAGCCAAAAAGATTTGCACCAGCACTCTTCCATTCCAAAAATGTTATTCATATTAACAGTTTTACCAACATCTCTTGAGGGCAGAGGTAAATAATTTTCAGAGACTAGATCTCTAACATCGTTTAAGAGTCTTTGGTGACTGACTTTTCTCTCTCTTTCTTTCTTTAAAATACATGATGTGATAAAAAAGCATGTGCCATGAATAAAACTTAGAGGAGATGACATGACTGATGCCCTTGACTCTCTGAAATTATACATTTCTGTCCTCTCTGCCAAAAGGGTGAGAAGGGAAACACTTTCTAAATGCTTTAGTACAGGAGGTATATTTCTAAACCACCTGTTTGAAGTGGTATCAGCCAAGAAGAAAAGAGGATAAAACAGACATTCACTCGTTTTATGAAATTCTGGACCAGCAGATTCACCATGTGTGTTTGAGATGTTAAAGGAGAATATGAATTGATCCATTTCTTGCCAAAGTTCCATGGTTCCAGATAAACTAAGCAGCTAAAACAAATGCTGGATAGAACTACCCTGACAAAACAAAGAACTATCTACCTCCTATACCTCTTGCAGTATTTCATCCCAGAAGGAAGAAAAAGAAAGTTGAACTCATCCCTTAGAACCTTCAAGGGATTTCACCCAAGAACTTAAATCTCCCTGGAAAAAAGGCAGCTTCTTGTTGATCTTATATTTTTAAAAAAGGAAAACATAGAATATTTAAAAAATCAAATGTTTAATATTAATATTTTTCAGGGACCTAGACAAAGGAAATTAGGAATATCTGCACCAGTACTAGAATTAATACCTTTAAAGGCTAATGTAAGTCCTTCTTCATAGGTCTTCCTCTGAAAGGTAACATCAGGTATAAAGCAGAGACCAGTCCAGACAGCAAGAAAAACACTGATTGCTTTTTCATTATTCTTAAGATCCAAGGGTTTGAGTCTGTGTTCCCCTATACAAATTGGTGAGGATTTATCTCAAGCCTTCCCCAGGAAAGGGGGTGTAGGGCTTGGGGGGATATTTTGGGGGGAAAGATGTTTCCAAGTGGGCTCTTTTCCTGTTCTTTGTTTAACACGCTTGGTGGTGGCAGCATAGGGTTCAAGGACAAGGCAAAGTTTGTACCTTGAGGAAGTTTTTAACCTAAGCTGGTAAGAATAAGCTTAGGGGGTCTTTCATGCAGGTCCCCACATCTGTACCCTAGAGTTCAGAGTGGGGAAGGAACCTTGACAGTATGTCATCCAGGATATCAAAATACATCAAATGAAGAGATGGACAACTGACTATCAAAGCAATTCACAATTAGTTCAACTGCTTCCACACTTCTATGTTCTGTCTCAATGTTTTGGAAAGTTATCCAAGGCTGAGCTTAAGTGGTAAATGCAATATTTGTTTGTGCTAACACTGGACAAGCCATTAAAGGAGAGTACAAAGAAGATTGTCTGCTTGGACTTTGAATTCCAAATGATTATTCCATATGATAGATGGCAATAGTTCCAGGGAGAATACAGGCAATAGTTCCAGGGAAAAACTGAGTAATATGCTCAAGCGGAAGAGCTAAATAGAATTGATTATTTTAACCACAATTCTCAATCCCTACCTCATACTAGGTCAGGGGCGGGCAAAAGTTTTGACCCGAGGGCTGCATCGGGTTTTGGAAATTGTATGGAGGGCCGGTTAGGGGAGGCTGTGCCTCCCAGACAGCCTGGCCCCTACCCCCATCCACCCCTCCCGCTTCTCGCCCCTGATGCCCCCCCCCCCCAGGACTCCTGCCCCATCCAACCCCCCTTGTTCCCTGATGGCCCCCCCGGGGCTCTTGCCCCATCCACCACCCCCTGCTCCCTATCCCCTGACCGCTCCCGAAACCCCCACCCCTGACTGCCCCCTGCCACCCCATCCAACCCCCCTCTCCTTCTTAACTGCCCCCCTGGGACCCTTACCCCCATTCAACCCCCCCATTCCTCACCCTCTGACCGCCCCAACCCTGTCCACCCGCTTGAACTCCCCTGCCCTCTATCCAACCACTCCGCATCCCTGCCCCCTTACCGTGCTGCCTGGAGCATCAGTGGCTGGCTGCCACCGCGCAGCACAGAGCACTGGGTCAGGCTGGGCTCTGCAGCTGCGCTGCCCCAGGAGCTTTCAACCCCACTGGCAGCACAGTGAGCCGAGGCTGCGGGGGAGAGGGAACAGCAGGGGAGGGGCCGGGGGCTAGCCTCCCGGGCCAGGAGCGGCCCGCAGGCCATAGTTTGCCCACCTCTGTACTAGGTAAAAAGGAGGAAAATCAGGTCAAGGGCAAGGACAAACAAGAATGGACAAAGAACAGTATTGCAGGACAGAAAAGTAAAGCTAGCAGCACTCCCATTTTAGTGCAGGAATAATTCAGTTAAAGATCTGGCAAAAACTCAACATAACTGCAGTATGTTGACGCACACAACCTGGTTCATGGGAGTTGGACATCTATAACCAACAAATCAAGGATTCTGGTTGACTCCACTCTCTTTGGTCAACCCATTAAGCCTAATTTACTGGGAACATTGTTCAACTGTGTAATAATCTTCAGCCAATGTTTGGTAAAATGAACCCACCTGGGGGCGGTCAGCACTTTTAGGTAGGAGACTGACTAGTGAGAGTCTTCTGTGGGCTTTTAGTCAAAATACTGAAAGACACAAAGAGGAAGCATACCAAATATAAAATTAATTTAAAGCACAATCACCAACTTTATGACCAGAATCCAGTATTTTTCAGATGAAGTTCTGTACATTAAGTTTTTCTTACATTCAAATTTTCTCTAAAACAAACAATCAAGCTGAGCTCTTAAAATCCTGCTTCTTTAAAGTGTGCTTTTATTTTTCCACCCATTTAAAATAAGCCAATATTTTTAATTATCATCCTATCATTGTTCTCTTTAAGCACATTGTAACAATACATGACTACTTCTTCCAAGTTGCTCAGTGCAACTCAGAGCATGTGATAATTCTGTATTTTTAGCATTTAACCAGTGCACATAAAAAACAAAAGCATTTATTCAGAAAAAAATATCTAGCAGTGAATGTGAGACCATAGTTTACTAAAAATAAAAAACTACTAGTTAATATCTAACCTGAAAAAGAAGTGTACCACAAAAGTGGGTTTCCACTTCACTTACTTGAATTTACGCAATTCGTCATTTCTGTGCTTGATTTAAAGGGAGACTTTTTTACATATTTCAAACACATGCTTTATTTCCAGTCCCAAAAGTAAATCTATTCCACACTGCACTAAATCCAGAGGAATGATAATTACTCATAGCATAAAAGAACTGAACAGGAAAGAAAAGTGAAGATCATCCAGTTTTTACCGAAAGAAAAAGAAGTTTCTTACCAGTACAGTAACTGTTATTCTTCAGGATACATCTTGCATACATACAATTCCTCTGTAGGTGTATGTGCAGCCAATGCACTTGAGTCAGAAACTTTTGCCAGCCATACTAGCAAGCAGTGCATACACCACCATTCATCCGCGCACACAGAGCCAAAGGTATAAAGGGGGCATGGTTGCTCCCTCCCTCTTTGGCCCTTTGCACCATCAGTTAGCGAATCCCAAAGTAGTAGGGAAGGTGGAAGAGTCATGGAATGTATATGTGCACAATACATATCAAAGAACAGGTAAGCAACAATTTCTCTCTGCTTGGAGTGATTGCACATACGAATTCTTCTGTAGGTGACTCACGAACAGTTTCCTTTTTCAGATGGTGGGACTTGAAACTTAAAGTGAGACTACAGCAATGACTTGCCAAAGATAGCAGTGTCTCAGGAAGCTTGAGTAATAGCATCATGTCTGGACCATGTCACTGCTTTAACAAATGACTAAATGGATGTTAAATGGACTCTCACTGAACTGACAGTATTTCAGACGCAATAGGTAGTCCAGCATATAGCTAATGTCTGTGCTATCTGGTGATTACTGATGTGACTCTATCCAGATTGAAAACCTTTTTCATTTTGCTTTGTACATGGCTTTAGTGGATCCTTTCAGCTGTTCACCAAACTGGTCTGTATAACTCAGGAGCAGACTCCTCATTGCTCAGCCAGAAATCACCCATGCCATGAGGTGAAGAGATTGTAGGATGGGGTTCCTCCTGGGGGAATTCTGCACCACTGCAAAAATGCAGAATTTGCACAGAATTAATGTTCTGTACAGAATTTTCTTTTCCCCTCTCCCCTGTCACAGAAATGGACTGCAGAGCTGCTGGCCACTACTAGAAGCTACTGGACCCAGCAGCTCCCCAGCTTGCAAATAGAAGACACTACCAGGAGAAGTGGGAGGGTTCCCAGCAGCTGCAGTTCCCCACATGCCCTGAAGGAAGGAGGCGGTGTGCAGGAAATTCCATATAAGCCCAGGACCCAACATCAGGCTGTTCCTCCCTCTGGATCCCTGGGCTCTGGAGGACAAGGGGTGCAGATGTTTGGACCAGGGGATGCCAGTGGCTGGGATCGGGGGGGGAAGGTGTGGGTGTCTGGGCCACCCTGTGGCTGGGCTCTTGGGGGTGGGGGGAGGGGATATGGGTGTCTGGCCCCCCCCAGCTGGGCTCTTGGGGGTGGGGGGAAAGGTGCAGAGAAACAGGAACTGGGTTGTTGTAGGGGTTTCTTTAACTCTCTGCTCCTGGGGGGATTTTGTTGTTGTTGTCGTCTGTATAGCCAAAATAATTGAAACTGGTGTGATTATGTAGTGCTATTTTGACAAATAAAATATGTAGAATTTTAAAATACTGTGCACAGAATTTAAATTTTTTGGCACAGAATTCCCCCAGGAATAATAGGGTGCAATGATTTGCCTTGGTTTTGAGACAAGAGATCCTCATCCACATACAGAGTAATGGGTGGTCAAATTGAGAGGTGATGTAGATCCAAGTACCAGCACTGCATCGGTCAGGCAGCTACAATGGAGTGTTCAGGCTGCCTTATCTTTCTGTATCTTCCTGATCATCCTTGGAATCAGAAGAACTAGAGGGAATCATTCAGCCAAGGAAGAAGAAAGGCATCTGTCAAGGAACCCTGGTTGTGACCTTCCCGGAAAAGAATCTCCTGCATTTGTTGCTCAGGTTGGTTACAAAGAGATTTATCACCAAGTAGATCACCACTGATGAAAGATCTGCTGCAGAATGTCCCTCTATTGACCACTTGTGATGATCGATGAAGTTCCTGCTGATGGCATCTATGTTATTGTTCCTCACTCGTGGAAGTTGAAAAGCATTTGGCAAGACACTGTTCTTTATACAAAAATTCCACAAGTAGATCACTTCTTTACATGACTGAAATGACCTTGCCCCCACGTGCTTGCTCAGATAAAAAACAGCGTTGTTGTCGATGAGAACTTGAACCTCCTGCCCCTGATAGTGGCAACCAACGTCTCACTTGCCTGGCAAACAGCTCAAAGTTCCAGCACATTTATATGACACATAACTTCATGAGGCATCCACAGTCCTTGAGTGTGAAGTTGACCCAGACAGGCCTGCCAATCTTTGGTGGACACATTTGGTTCTGGTGGTCAGGAACCCCTCTGCATACATTCTAAGGGTCTAATCACCAATTCAGGGACCGAAGCAATTGTGCAGGCATACAAAAATCAGCATGTCTAGCAATACCTACTTGGGCCACGCCTGCAGACCTCAGAGGTAAAATCCAGAAGGCTGAGTCACATACATGTACAAGGCCATGTGCCCCAACTGCTATACACATGAACATACTGTTGTCCTTGGGTTGGACTTGAGGCTCTCAGACAGAGACTATGGACTGGAACATGTCTGTCAGGGAAGGTGTATAGGAGAGGTGTGTCCCATTTTAGGATAAAATCATTACCCAGGAAGCAAGGACCCAATTCTGCTCTGGATCAGAACTGAGAACAGTTGCCGTTCTGTGTCATTGCAAAGAAGTCTATAGTTGGGAACCCCCAGTGTTTGAATATGTTTTGTAATACTCGGGGTCTAATTCCCACTCGTGATCCTAGGAATATTTTCTGCTTAGTGCATCTGCAGTGGTGTTTTGGCATCCTGGCAGGTAGGAGGCTGAGATGTCAATATTGTGACTGATGCTCCAGTTCCAGAGTAACATGGCTTCTGTCCATAGGTGAACATGCCCCCCTGCCAGTTGATATAGAACATGTGATATTTTCTATCAGTATCTTTATGGTCTTGTTCTTGATTGTAGGCAGGACATGGGAGCATGCACTGTGAACGGCACACAGTTCCAGTAGGTTCATATGTAGGAGGGATTCTGATGGGGACCAATGGCCCTGGATAGCAGGAGAGTTCAGATGTGCTCCTCAACCTAGTAGTGAAGTGTCCATCATGATTATCACTGTTGAACCCAGAGAGCTGTAGCCAGGATGCATACCTCATAACTACTTCTGTGGCTATAGACCACGCTGCAGTGTCTGCGGAGCCCAGCGCAGCCTGCAATGCTGTTCTGGAGAGAAGAGGACCTTCAGAGACGATGGCCCTAAACTGTTCTCTTCTGTTCCAGTGTGAGTTTAATAAAATTTGACAATTTTGAATAGTATGTACAGTCGTATTTGACAAATAATACCTCATAGTCTGCGATCCTGCGGTGTAATGTCATGGAGGAGTAGGTCTTATGACCTAAGAGATTTAGTCTCTTCCAGTCTCTATTGTATGGTGTGGTTTTGGGATGTTGCCGCCTACCTGTTCATTTTCTGCATCCACGACCAAAGACACTGGTGCGGGGTGTGAGAAAAGGAACTCCGTTCCCTTCGCAGACACGTAGTATTTTTTGGTCAGACCTTTTGCACATAGGTGGAATTGTTCCCAGGGTCTGCCAAATCGATTTTTCCAGTTCCATGATTGCATCATTCATTGGTAGAGCAATTCTGGAGGCGGCTGAGGTCTGTAAGATATCAAATAGATTATGCTGTGATTCTGGTACTTCCTCCAGTAAAATGTCCAACGAGTCCTCCACCCTCTTAAAAAGGTCCTGAAATTAATTCAAGTCATCCCCCGTGCTGGGAGGTGAGGGCAAGATGGTTTCAACAGGGGAAGAGGATGAGAAATTGGCTGCCGGTGCCATATCCTGGTCCGAAATCACCTCCTCCTCCTCTTTGACCGCCTCTTCTGGGGACTTAGAGGGTCCAGTCTGACCTCTTGTATAACACTGGCCACAGAACTCCCCCAAAATAATTCCTAGAGCATATCTTTCAGAAAAACATCCAATCTTGATTTAAAAATGGTCAGTGACAGAGAATTCACCATGATTCTTGGTAAACTGTTCCAATGGTTAATTACTCTCACTGCTAAAAATGTTTGCCTTTTTTCCAGTCTGAATTTGTTCAGCTTTAACTTCCGTACATTAGATCACATTATACCTTCCTCTTCTAAACTGAAGAACCCATCATCAAATTCTTGAACCCCATGTAGGTACTTATAGACTGTAATCAAGTCACCCCTTAACATTCTCTTCTTCAAGCTAGATGGACTCAAGGAGTTCAATGTATCACTATAAGGCAATTACACCTGTATTGAGCTCAATAACTTGTGTTTCTCTACAGCATAACTTCTAGAGAGACATCCAGTTTTGATATGAAGACATCAAGAGATGAAAAATTCACCCCTTCTCTTGGTAGGGGTTAAATCATCCACATTTAAAATTTTGTGCCTTATTTCCAATTTGAATTGTCTAGCTTCAAGCCCTTGATTTTGGGTTATGCCTTTCTCCACTAGATTAAAGACCCCTTTATATAACTTATTATTTTCTCCCAGAAACTGTAACCAAGTCACCTTTCAATCTTGTTTTTTAAAAACTAAACAGATTTAGTTTTTTAGAACTCTCACTTTCAGTCATTTCCTCTAGACCTCAAAACATTTTTGTGGCTCTTTTCTGTACTCCCTCCAACTTTTCAACTTTCTTTTTAAAAGGTGGACACCAGAACCATACACAATATTCCAGTATCAGTTCCACCAATATTATATATAGAGGCAAAATCATCTTCCTAATCCTTTGCACTACTCCTTTGTTTATACATGTAAGAATCACATCACATTGAAAATTCACATTGTTTATCTTCTATGTCCCCTTATTTCCAGGATACAGTCCCCCATTCTGTAAGCATGGCCTGTTTCTAGGCATATAACTTTGCATTTGGCTGTGTTAAAATCTGTTTTGTTTCCAGGCGCTCAGCTCACCAAGCAATCCAAATTGCTCTGTAGTACTTCCCGATCCTCAGTTATTTACTATTCTACCAATCTTTGTGTGCACAAATTTTATAAGCAGTAATTTTATATATACTTCCAGATCACTGATGAAAAAGTAGTAGATTGTCATCTCCTACCCGGGCCAGCCACTAGAGAGCGACAAGATACACATTCTGCATATACACATTTGCAGACAGCAGAGGAATGATGAGACTCAAAAATCCCTGGTTCTATTCAAGTTTCTGAGAGACGTGTACTCTCTACTGGTGTGGTGTCATGGCATGAATCCTTAGTGGATGTCTGTCTCATTGTGAATGAAGTGCACTCATTTCCATGGTGAGGAAAACACCACATTCTTGTAGCTGTGCTAAAACACGAGATAAGGGGAATGGCAGTACCAGTCCAGAAGCATGTGGCTACTACCCTTTAGAGGATGGCTATCTCCCAAGCATTACAGATCTGTGAGCAACCAGTCTGCGGTTGGCAGGTCCACTGTGGCTGCTGTGATGGATGTTGGTCAGGCAATAAATACACTGCTGCACCCACATGGGGTTTAAATAGCCAATGACCCTGTTACTGCAAGCTCTGAGCAGCTGGGGACCAAAACTGTGATAGAGCTAGAGATGGGGAACATTTGTGCCTATAATCTGAATCACAACCACTGATGCTTTCTGAATCAACACAGAAGTATATTACTCACTCCACTGGGGTGCAGGACTTGATAAATCCATCTGGGCTGATGAATAAAAATAAGTTATTGGGCATGTGTATACTGCACACTACTTGGGTAGCTACTCCAAGTTCTGCTACAAGCAAACAAACATATAAGGGACTTTTGTGTTTGAACTGAAGGTGAGCTAGAGGGAACAATCAATTTCCAACTAAAGATACATCCAGTGATGAGCTGCCAAAATCTTAACAACCGGTTCCCTCCTCATCCCATGAGGGGGTCGTGGCCCGCCCCCGCCCCCCCCGGGACCCCTGCCCCATCCACCCCCTCCCCTGTCCCCTGATTGCCCCCGGAACCAGGCAGGAGGGTCTCGTGAGCCACCATAGTGGGTGCCCACCCCGCCCCCAAGAGCCAGAGGGACCTGCTGGGGGCGAGGTGGGGAATCCCGGTGGTGCTTACCCGGGGCAGCTCCCGGGAAGCATTCAGCAGGTCCCTCTGGCTCCTAGGGGCAGGGTAGCTTAGCTGGGGGGAGGGGGGAAGCTGGGAGAGCAGCTGCTCCCCCCACTGATCACATCAAAAAAGTGGCGCCTTAGTCACCAACCCTGTGGGTGCTCTGGGACTGGA